CTTAATAATGGTTTAATATCTTTATGCTACATTAAATTAAAATTTTATGTAGCATAAAATTTGTATTGATTATTTACAATTGTGTTTTTAAAACTTTTGTAATTTGTATTGAGTATTTACATTTGTATCCCAAATAAAAAAACATCTTTAAAGGCGTCCTCCCTAAAATTTAGAACTCCATATTATCTATAGATAATACATTTCAAGGTTACAATTAGGGAAAGTATTGTCATGTGTCAACTCCACAATTAACATCACTTTTGTAACTAAGGAAATCTATAAAAGATTAGCTATGCACAAGTGATATTCTGTATTTCATATAGGACTCCAATTCATAATTGGTATCTCAAATTGCGCACAAAGAATTGCACTCAAATAAGAAGTACATAGTACTACTCAACTCAACCATTGTTAAAATCTATGATTTGTGCGTAACAACAATAACAAATAGAGGATTTTTCTTGCAATGGAATGTTGTTGTTGCTTACAAACGAACAACTTTGTAAACTTTTATTTTTTTAATTAATTATCTCTAGAAAATTCATAAACAACCAACAATGAATACAAAAAACTCACTTTCATTCTCTTTTATCATAACAAAAAAAATCTGTTTGGAAAAATATAACTTTGGATTTTGAAAACTCAAAATTTTAAAAGACTTGATATATTTTATACAAAGTTCCTAAATTTATAAATAGAACATTCAACAATATAATTTTTCAAAAATATATATTAATAGAGTTTATTATATTGGATCCCCGCTCTCTCAACTATTGGATCCCCGGTCCATCGTTTACTTGATCTAATCGGACCAGCCATGTCTTAAATACTAGACCAATTCATGCATAAAATTTCAACTCAATAAAAAACATCGATAACATCACCACTCATTCCACATTCAGTAGAGGATTGACAAAATAAAATCTCTTTTTTCATTTTTATCATGTGTGCGGCATGGATAAAATGCATTGGTATAATTACACTAAAATTAGTTACAATTTCTAATCACATAAAAACCATTCATAAAAATGAAAATAAATTTTGAAAGAAAGAGATACGGTATCCATCAAAACCATACGTGTTAAATTTTGGTAAATGCTCTTATTGCCTTATGATTTCCATCTCAAAAATATAATTTAAGCATGTTTTCAATTTGCATGGTTTTTATTCAAATTAGCCTGATCTGATATGGGCATTTTTTACTATTATACAAGTATATGTCTGGCTGATTGAAATCTGATTTGAGATCGGAATCATCCCAAATGAAATTTTCTTATATTTTCACTTTTTATTTTTATTTTACATCTTTTATTCAACAATTTTATAAAGATATATATTGACAGAGTATATTATATTGTATCCCAGGATTGTCGATTATTGGGCCTGAATAATGGCCCGAATGGACTGATAGACAATATTTCAATTATTGCACAACATATTATTATTATTATTGTTGTTGTTGTTGTTGTTATTTGAGTATGGCTGTCAATTAGTAAATGCAGTTCAGACCTGATTAAACTAGACTTAAACAAACAAGACCATATCAAATCAAAAAAATTCAATCCAATTAGGAAAATCCTTACACGGGATTTACATGTGAAAATACAACTTCACTTAAACATGGATTAACACAATTTCACTCAAACACATTTTCACTAGGCTCTTATACAAAATTTCACTAATACACAAATCAACACATTTTCACTAGACTCATTCACAATTAATGTTCAATTTATTTATTAATCTTCCTATTAACCACTACTTCTTTAATAATCCATTTTAATTACGAATTTATTTAGAAAATTAAATACTTCATCTGTCCCATTTATAGGTTCTCACTTTTTTTGGATGTTCTATATAAAGGTTTTCATTTCTATGTTAGAAAACAATTAACACTCTTATATGACGATTTAATAATCAAATATTAAAAATATCACATTAATAAATAATAATATCACAATTATCATCAATGACCATATTATATTATATACCCATCGAAACTATTTCTCAAAATAGTTTCAGAGTGGAAATCTTTCAGCGGGATGGAGGGAATAACACACAATTTTGGTTGTCATTATATTTTAATGTGTATAAGTAAGCATTATAAAAAAAATATTATTTTGAAATTTACATTAATAAAAATTTAATAACATTTTATTAAATTTTACTCCCTCCGTCCCACTTAAAGGTTCCCACACGGTTTATGATGTTTGACTGACCATAAAGTTAACTGATCGCTGTCATTAATAGGATTATTTTTAGTAAATAAAATTGATGTATTTAGAAACTACATTAAAAGTTTTATAATATCCGATCAAGAAAAATTAAATTTGATAAAAGTTGAATATATGAAGTAAAAGATTACGAACAATGGACGTTGACCAGAGAATAGTGGACGGGAACCTGTAAATGAGACGGAGGGAATTGTTTTTATCATATTCAAAGTTAAAATAAAAATAATTTTTTTAAGAAAGCGAAAAGGAATTGTTAAAACATCAAGACTTACGTGTTAAAATTCGAAAAACATAAATTAAAACATTCATAAGTTTGGTAATCACATAAAAGTTATTCATAAAAAAAAGAATAAAAATTTAAAGAAAGTTAGAAGGAATTGTTTTCACATTCTAATCACACAAAAATAATTCATAAAAAAAAAGAAAATAACTTTTGAAAGAAAGCGAAAAAGAATTGCTTGCAAATTCTAATCACATAAAAATCATTCATAAAAAATGAAAACAAATTTTGAAACAAACAAGACCATATCAAATCTGAAAATTTCAGTAGTTTTATCATTTATTTAGTTGCTTATATATTTATTTATGTATTTTGACTAAATTTATTTATCCTATTATTTATAAAAATTGTCTAGCTCAGAGAATGGCTATAAATTAAATAATTGACTACTAACCTCCATTTATTCTTCGTTTTCAGGGAAAAGTATTTGTTTTTGTACTCAAGTGTGGAGTTAAAGGGGGGCAACTTAGGTCTTGACCCGTCTCACATTAAAAAAATGTATAAAAAATAAATTTTAATGTAAAAAATTACTAATAAAAGGGTTATGAACAAAAAAATGACTTGGTAAATTTTAGTGACTATATAATTGTATTCAAATTTTACATTATAAAAACTACATCATAGTAAATTATTAACTTTGAACATAATTATAGTGTCTAAAAGTTGTCAAGTCACATTTTTATCTATCACTTTTTGAAACTAAATACTAATATTAGTGGATGCCTTCCTTACTTTTATTCTTATCATTACTAATACATTAGAGAGAAGGTTCATTATATTATTAAAATAAGATCTAACCATATATTACTTATGCCCCCTTAAGGCACTGCGGTCCATTATTAAGAAAAATAAAATTGATTCGTTGATATTGAATTTGAAAAGTGTGAATTAAGTAAAAAATGAATTGCAATCGCTCAAATATTACCACATGGTATGCGACAAATGTATTGCGACGAGAAAATATTAAAATTGGACAAAAATATGAAAACCCAAGGAGTATAATTTCTTTTGACAGGAAATTTGGAGCAAAATGATCTACTTTACTACTTTATAATTTATTTAAATTATTTGATGAACTTTGCAAAGAAATATTCAAATCAACATTTCATTTAATTTTCAAGAAGTGTCTCTAAACAATAACGCCACTTATATTTTATATAATGAACGATGTATCAACATCAATCGTTTCCCTGACCTAATCGGACCAGCCCGTTTGGAAGCACGAAAATCGGCTGATTCTGCTGAAATTTATGAAGTTCTGGCTTAAGTGGCTGCATTGGATGATTATGCTGATTTAAGAAAAAATCATTTTTAAATATAGTTTATTACTAAAATAAAGAAAAAAATTACATGTAAAAATAGCTAAAATGATCATCTACAGTAACTTCAACCAATACAGTCAGAAAAGTAACACCAACTTTATTATCTGCTTATTACACAATTCAGCGCGCGAAAGCAAAAGTTACGTGTTTGGTGAAAAAGTTGGTGATAAGCCTGATAAGTCGAAAAATAATGTTGTCAAACATCAATAACATCATCAATTATTCCACATTTAGAAAAGGATTGAAAATAAAATGTCATACTACCTCCGCACCAATTTACTTAGCCATCTTTGACTTTTCCAGCCAAAGATGGTCTGGTAAACTTTGACCAATTATTTCAACTAATATATTATGCAAAATTTAATAATTTCATATATACTTTTATGATAACATTTTTAACAAAGAACATTTTCATACCATTTCATATAATCAGTCAAAGTTAGACGTCATTGACTTGAAAAGTGAAGTTTGACTAAGTAAAATGGGACGGAGGGAGTAATCATTATATCCCGTGCGCGACACGGGTAAAAGTACTAGTTAACTTACATCTTTGATGTCTTGTTTTTTAAACCGTAGAATATTAGTGTAAAAAATAATACCCTTTATGATAATTATACATTCATCAATCAATATATTATCAAACACGCTTCAAAATTTCAATCCTTTCAATCGTTGCAGCCATTACAAAAAAGGCCCATATATATCGGTCTTTAGCGGTAGAAACATAATAAGGACTAGGGCAGTGAAAATCGCACCAAACTTAACAACAAAACACATCTAAGTAAATGCGTAGTAGAAAATCGAAAAGTCCAACCGATCAAACTATCTATATCATGCTCCAATCCAACTTATTATACCTTTAAATGAACAGGTTTTGGAAAATATAACAAACACATCAAAATGCTTACTAAAAATACCACAAGTATGAGATGATTGCTCAATTCACATATAAGCATGCTCTATAAATCTATTAATGAAACCATAGAAAAATGTCCCCTTGTGTGAAATACTATGAGAGTGAGATAACCAATTTCCTAGTGGTCTTCAATTTATACACCCACCACCAAATGAAGGAGGACAATGTGGCTTTCCACTCGTAAAAATCTGAGGACAATTAACCAATAAATAATGAAAAAGAGAACAATCTTCACAGCTAATAAACCAGTAAAATATGCCATATGCATTTTGTCAAGTTTCATATGCCTCCCAGTTTGACAAATGCATTTTGTTTATTAACAATGCCATTCATTCTCATTCATTCATATATCCTTGCAGACACAAAGCAGACATTGGGTGAGACAGCAAAACGTACAACCATACAAGTCCTAAGAGAATCAAGGACTTGCACCAAAAGAGATCAGAGAAACCTAGGCCAACATAAAAGAATAAAAGAATACAGCTAGTTCATCAACATTTCTAATCCTCAAGAATGGGCAAAGCTAGTGGCAATGGGGATAATGATGACAAGAATGATGATCAGGAGGAGAATGATCCCAATGCACATACACCTCCTGCTGCTCCTCTGATGCTCCTTTGCAGCCTTCAAGCTCTTGCTTCCATCATTCACATACTGGGCAGCATTCATCACATGGTGGTGGATGTCATCCAGCTGTTCCCCTTGCGCTTCCACCATCACCGCCATGTCCAAGAACACCTGGTGGAGCTCCAGCAGGCTCCTCTCTATCTCCTTCGCCGCGTCGTGCCTGTCCTGTATCTCCACCACCGTCTCCAACACCTTCCCCTTCCCGTGCTCCTAATATAGTTAATCAATATACACAGGAAGTAGGATTAAGAACCTGAACTTTTCGAAGTATTTTTTATACAGCTTTTTACACTATAAATAGAAACATTTTTAAAATTTGGTGTGAATCGGGCCTAGCACGCCCCCTAACTACGCCCTTGAATGATCATTCCTTTTCTACTCTAACCGGATGAAGTTTCAAGCTTCTAATATGGTATCAAAATCAGGTCTAGTTATGATTTTATTGTTGGTTTGATGCCTGTTTGGCTGATTTAGGCATGCCAAAGCACCTACATCTCCTGATTTATGGTATAAAATTATCTAATGCATAAGATAATGTCTTTTCCTCCTGTTATCAGGTATTCCGATTAAAACAACAGAATAGCTTAACTCAACAAATTCAAAGTCAATTTTAGGGTTAGGAGATGGTGAGATTCAATGATTCACTCCAGGTCTAATTAGGGTTACAATATGTTACCTGAATTGCTCGAGAGAGAAATTCTTCACCGCCATGGCCGGAAATCAGAATCTTCTCGATCACCTCATCATTAGGCTGCTCTCCGGTGACAGTGAAGTACCTCCGCTCGACCGTCTCCTTGTACTCGCTCATCGTCCTCTGCCTTAGCTTCTGGAAGTCCATCATCAGCTCCTTCAGCTTCTTCCTCAGCCCGTTCGTCACGGCCAGCCGCGTCCGGTCCACCGGAGTTCCCTCCTTGCACCCCGACAACCGCCGGTTCACCGCGTTGGACCGGTCCATCTCCTCCAGCTCCGCTTTGATCCCCCTGGCCTTCTTCAGGACCGCCACTATGTCGGCGTTTATCCTGTCCCGCAACGATTTGAGAGCTTCGGGCTTGTGCTGGCCTTTGATCTCTTCATTGGATTCCTGCAACCTGACCAGGATTTCTCGGATCGAATTCATCTCTGTTTTCACCTTCTCCGCTTCTTCTAAGAAGGCGGAGAGGTTCTGGTCCATCTTCTGTATCCCCATTTCGATGTCCGCCGCTTCGAGGTCTTTCATGGCTTCTTTCTTCAGATCAACGTAGCTCGTGAACGATTTCGTCATTAGATCATTCATTTTGTGGCTTTTCACAGTTTTTGAACAGCGAGAAAGAGAGTGAGAGAAAATGATGGGAAGAACTGAGAAGATGAAGTGTGGAGTGGATTTGGAGAGTGAGGGTTTAAGTATTTAAGAGAAAATACAGACTCTGTTTCTGAAGACTGAAACTAGCCGTTGATGGTCTTGCAACGGCTCTACTGAAAGAACCAGCGAACCACTTCGTCATTTATTTAACTTATAAGATTAAGATAAGACAATTAAGATTTACCACCTTTTTCTTCCTTTATCACGATGTTTTTAAGGATGTGTTTTGTTTTGGTAATGGTCATACGTTCTAACTTCCAAGTCAGCACGCATCATCAAAGGATTAAATGATCTAATTAGTCTTCATTGACTGTCTACAATCTTTGTTTTTTTGATAATTTGATTTTTGTAGATCATATATACTCATCATCTATCTTCCACAAAATAATTCTCGACCTCAACCACTTGATTGTCAAATAAGTATGTTTGCATTTTAACGGTACGAATAAATAATTACATGTACGACTATAACAAAAATTATTTAAAAATGTGACTAATGACTAGAAATGAAATTATAGTGGCTTACATTCAATTTGTAAATTTAAATTGTAGTAACTATTACTTATATTTGTGTAAATAAGTTATATTTTAGTAATAAAAAACCCCAAAATGTTAAGATACGAGGTTCCATCCTAAAAGGTCAACCTGTTAGTAAGAGTAACTCATGTGTTAATATAGCACTTCGTTCATCCAAACGTTTTCCGGTGTGGGATATGCATTTAACACCCCTTCTTACGACCAGAAACTTCGTCTGGATTATGCTATATTAACACTGGGCTACTCCTCCTAACATGTTGACATTTTATGATTGAACCTCGTGTCTTAACACAAAACTAAACACAACTATAAATGGTGCTATAAAAAGTTGTAGTTACAAGTTACAACATCCAGAAATGATTATTTGTAGGTTTACTTTTTTTGGAAACACAGATTCATTTTATCTTTTATTTTGTAAATTGCTTTTTATCATATACTAATTTGGTTTTTGTGTGTTTATGAAACTTTCAATGTAGGTTTTCAATATGTAAATTTTAACTATTAAAATTGATTTTGTTATTTTCATAGATGATTTAATTTTATAGTCAGATCAGTCAAATTTAAAACAACAAAATAACAAATTGTAGATCAATTCATGAAGGAAATATAACTTGAAATATATTTTGGGGAAGCTAATACACCACTTCTTCCATTACAAACTGATAAGAATTTTATGATGTTTATGGTTGACTATAACATGGAGTGCTCTTCTCATCAGGCCGGCCTGACGGGCTGCTCCGTCCGGCCGAGCCCATTTGGGTACCTTCCTGGTGGAATTTTTTGATGAAATTTTTTGATCATGTTCCTCATCAAGTCTAGTTTGTCTATACCAAATTTCAGATCAAAATTCGACCGGGAAGGCATTCAAATCATTTTTTGAAGTTGACTGCGTCATAATATACATATAAAACTGCAGTCAACTTCAAAAAATTATTTGAATGCCTTTCCGATCGAATTTTGAGCTGAAATTTGGTATGGACAAACTAGACTTGATGAGGAACATGGTCAAAAAATTTCATCAAAAACTTCCACCGGGAAGGTGCCCAAACGGGCTCGGCCGGACGGAGCAGCCCGTCAGGCCGGCCTGACATGAAGTTTCCTCAATGATGATAATGTTAAATCCTCTGTATAGAGAGTGAAATTAATCTTAATAATCAAAATTTCATACAGTTCTTATGTGCCATAAACAATTTGTACAAAACGATTGGCTGCATGTAATTTACATATTCATAAACGAAGCATTACATTCAAAATTCTATAAAATCACTAAATTTAACTTAGAATATAATCAAAATTGATTGATACTCCCTATGTATATAAAAGATCACTATATTAGGTTTGACACCATATTTAATGAGGAAATAGTAGGGGTAACAAATAATGTAGAAAAAGTAGGAGAGAAAGTGAAAAAGTAGGAAAAAGAAGATAAAACGTAGAAAGCATAAGAGTAATTGAGTATTTTTAAAAGAAAAATTTACCAAAAAAAAAGAAAATGTAACAAACTTTTAAATACATCCCAAATATAAAAATGTAGCAAATTTTTAAATACGGAGCAAGTATTTAAATATGTAAATAAAATCGGAGTATGTTGATGAAGAATATTTTGTTTTTGGACAAATCTTTCTAACCTATTATAGTATTTGTTCTGTTAAGACCAACATCTTTCTAACCTATTATAGTATATGTTGATCTCCTCTTTAGAAGTGTCACAAGACGTCATCAGACCGCAAATTACTTGACATGTTGATCAAGAAGATTAATTTTTCTAAATCATTTTGAGATGAGAAATACCCCTCTGTCCTGGAAACAAGTTCCCGAGTTGACTTTCACACATTTTAAGAAAATAAAGTTACTGAGGGGTAAATTTTACTGTTTGGCACTGTTTCGACATTGTTTGGCACTGTTTTGCACTGTTTTGATGTAGGATAACTTTCCATTTAGGGAAATGAGAAGTTTATTTTGGAACATCCAAATAAGGAAAGTGAGAACTTGTCTCCGGGACGGAGGTAGTATAATTTTTATTTGATGCATCGTGGAGGTGTCAGGTGTGTAGACTGTTGCTTTGGTTAGACTGCCAGTGCCGCTAGACCACTCCGGCAATACAAATAGAAGTCTTTCTTATTATATCCACTATTGTACACACTTTTGTACACAGGCAAATGAGAGAAAAGTGTTGCCTTCTTCTTAACAAATTGCATGTGTACACCGGCAAAATAGGGAGGTGGGTACAAAAGTGGTTACAAATAGAATTTTTGGATAAATAGTCTCAATAAAAGTTTTCTAAGAATTGTCACAAAAAATATTCCACCTCAAGAAAGGCACCACAAAACTAGTGCCGGGAAATCCACCGGAAACTGCCACTGTCGGCCACCACACGCAAATATGCCTGCCACTTTAAGCTTTTAGATAAATTGGTACCTCTTATACATTACTATACAAAGAGTGGGAATTATTGAAACTTTAAACCAGACAAAAAAATGCTATACTTAAATCATGACGATGGTACGATCAAACACCAAAATACAACATAGGTATGGTTTATAGATAAAATATATAACATTTTATTTTGAGAAAAGTTGTGTGAAAAGGATGAATGACTTGAATCCCTTTGTCCCAATCCTAAACAACCCCATATTCCGGCCTAACAGAGCATATGTGATTGTTACTGATCGTGTGTCTCAGTTACATACACAAGTTAGACTATTGTCCTACACACAAGGAGCCCCTTACTTTGATTGGGTGCCCCCATCAAAGTGAACAATCACATTGCTCACCTGGATCATTGTTCCAAAGTTTCACTCATGTGCCCACTAACCAGGTATAATCCATGTAGGATTGGGGAAGGTTTTGTAAATCTATTCCAGGTGAGCAACTTCAATTCATTGTAATATATGGTTGTTAAATGTGTACTCATGTGTTTTTAAATTTTAGAAATTGCTACGACTAAAATAAGCTTAGAAAAATAATATGCATGTTCTCTTAGATGCATGAAGTTATATATGCACAGAATTTTTAACTTAGTAAATTATTTTCTCCAGATATCTATTCCAATGCATTAATTTTTTTTGTAAACAAAGAATCTTAGTCATTGAAGTATGACATATTCATTTACTTTGTTTCAATTGTTCTCTTAGATAGTGATTAGTTTAATTTCTTGCAACTTTGTGGTGCTACCTTTTTAGTTTATGAATGATGATGTCAATTTCTACATTTTAACATTTGGTGTTATTTCATTTGGGTTTTGCTATTTAATCTATAGATTTGTAGTTAAATCTTGTTAACTAATTCAAAATGTTGTTTTATAATTTTATTTCGAGTGTTTACTATACATCATGATGACATTGATACTTAATTTGCTAGTATAGCGATATTTGTTACAAAAAAACAAGAACTCAGACCAAACCGGTTCATTTCAAATGGGCAATTAAGGTCCGCTTCCTATTTCGAGACTTGATATATCTGGATCGAGCCTACCTGTTAGATGGAACCGGCAGTTCTTATTTACCCGGACCAATCTTGATCGTGCCCACCCTTAGTCTTACTATTGCACTTTCAATAAGTTTTAGTTCTATTTAGGGCAATTACTACCAAAACTTCTTGGGTTCATAGATTTTTTTATTGATTTTATAAGTTATAGTTTAATAATCAAAATAAAAAGAAGAAAAACAATGTTTTAGCTGGGAGTCTGGGGACCAATCAATTCAAAATATTGTATGCAAAATACGAGCAATATCGTTTACTATTGTAAAAGGATATGATATTATGATCTTGAGATAGTCATATTTCTAAAAGAAATCAATGAGAAATTAAAGTGGAATTACTAATGTATCACAAACAAAGGTGTCTGCACTAAGCAACCTGCTTTTAGCATGTCGAAAAATTAGTTTCTTAAGAAGTCAAAGCCTAGCTAGTACAATTGCATTTAATTTGAAGTCCAATACTCCAATACCATTCTGTAATTGATAGTTGGTTCCAAAAAGGTACAATTGTATTTAATTTGAGGCTTAATTATTACGTACACTTTATTAATTTTATAATCCCAGTTCACACAACATATAGAAGTATGACAAATGATCGACATCTAAAGCTGCCTATTCTCGGAAGAGTATAACATATTACGTGGAAATGTGGAATACCTTTCCAACTTCGGACCCCCTTCCGATCATCCACCCTTTCCTGCTTCTGAGTTCGGACTATACCCCTAATAAGCTTTTGAAAAATTCCTTTTGTACACGTTTTTGTACCCATCAGTACACGCATGTGTCTGTGAGAGTTTTTTTTTGTCTGTGAAGTGCGGTTCACAGACAAAAGCTGGTTTGTTTTGTCTGTGAAATTTTCCACAGACAAAACAAGCCAACTTATGTCTGTGGACCGCGCTTCACAGACAAAAAAAAACTCTCACAGACACATGCGTGTACTGATGGGTATAAAAATGTGTACACCAAGAATGGTTGTAAACTTTTTCTACGCCACTAATTTTTTGTTCCTCCATGTATAAGGTATATACTAGCTACCTTCGTCCCGGTGTACTTTGCCAAGTGCAAAGTAGGTGAGAAATAA